TGACAAAAAAAAAAAAAAAAAAATACTTATTTCAGTATATTCTGGTGGACAAATGAAACAGTAAACATATGGAGTCATATATTCGGATGGATGTTATTTTTTGGTCTGACTCTGTACGATCTATGTCTACTGAATATTCACGCACCTTTTGGTGACAAAATGATAGTAGCACTTCTATTAGTTTGTTTTCAGGTAAAAATATGAATGCTTAATATGAAAATCACGAAAAAGATAAAAAAAAAAAAAAAGAAAAAGTAAAATAAAATTATTGTTTCAGGCATGTATGATATTATCATCAGTGTATCACACATTTTCTTGCCGAAGTGAACGTGATTATTGGTGTTTCTTATCATTTGATTTGTTCGGCATTGCTTTAAGTCTTTTATCGATATACATGTCTGGAATTTATTATGCTTTTTGGTGTCATACGGTAAGCAAATCAATAATAAATAAATAGTTATATGTGTACATATTATAATTATAATTAGTCGAAGATATTATTAGTATACTAGATACTACATGTATCTAATCTTTTTTATATATATAAATAATTTTATTCATTATATTTCCTATTTTATCTTAAACTTTAGCTAAGAAAAAATATTCTTTATCATATTATTCAAAATAAATATGAAAAAACATTTTTTTTTTCCTTTTTTCCCTCTCTTTTTTTTTTTTTAGATAGAAAAAAATTATTATTACTAATTAATAGCAAATATTTTTCTTTATCCAGGAATTACAGAGATTTTATCTCATAACCGTATTAGCAATTTTTATATTTGCAATGGTATTGCAAATACCAAAATTAAATGTCAATGGCAACGTCAAACTAGTCGTTTTTGTCGCTTGGGCGGCTTATGGAGTTTTGCCAACGCTGCATTGGAGCATTGTTATGGGTGGTTTGGACAACCCAATCGTTAGAATGTTGCTTCCAAGGGTATTAGGAATGTATATTATTAGTGGTGTAGCATTCGCTATTTACTTGAGTAAAATACCAGAACGCTTTTGTCCAGGTAATTGCAAATACTGTTGACCTTTTTTCATGAAATATAATAAAAGTATATAATAAAAATTTAATTTTAAATTGTGTATAATTGTTATGTTCTATGCTGTATTATTAGAATTTTATTTTGTTAAAGGATGGGTAGATTATATTGGTTCTTCTCACCAATGGTGGCACGCGTTGGTAGTATTGGCTCTTTATTATTGGCACAATACTGGAATGCTTTACGTAGAATACAGAATGAACCACGGTTGTCCAACCAGTATAAGATCATTATGACAAACACAGACTGGCGACCAATCAGGTATAAAAGACATTTTTAAATATTTATCTTTAATTCCAGAGAATCTTAGTTCTTTCTATTACAAATTTTTTATTTTTCTTTTTTATTCATTTCCTTTATAGATTTTAAATATATTAATTTCTTATTTAATTTGTTTCATTTCAACAGAATTATGTAATTATGTAATTGAATTATAATGATTTAATATAGCGAATATTTCAGGTTTTATCATGGAATGCGCTTGCGCTATGGAATTTAATGTTTGGTCGTCAGAATATTACAACAAGCTACCGTTTTATGCTGTTGAGAGAAAGACAACTTGCGCAATTGAGAATCCATTACAAGCGTACCTTCATCGGCAGACAATCTAATATCACAATGCGCAATATTCGTAATATATATATTTGAAATATTATTATTGCGGATTCTTTGACAACGTCTTGATAATGTTTTCTAACACTAGTGATTTTAATTTATTTTATATTTATACATTTTAAATAGATGCATTGCGTTTTCCTTTTATTCGTACAATTTTTATAACAAACAATCTTCATAAACATTTATTTTATTTCTATTGAGAGAAGTATGATTTTCTAATATTCTTTTTCTTGCAATAATTATTATCGAGAATAAAAAGCGAATGATTACGGTACACATTATAATATTTGATAATGTATCTTCTCGTAATTATACTTACGAAGATGTTTATGCAAGTAACAAAAGTTGTTAAGATTGTACATTTCAATGGATATTTATTATTTAATAACCAAAATTACTTGTGCATATTATAAAATACCATTTGTAAAAAGTATATTATAAGATAAACAATAGATATAGAAAAATGATACCCTTTGATTCTGAACAGTGCCTGAAAATTATATCTTGCATTTTTCAATACATGAAAAATAAACATACATTTTGTACGTATAAATAAAAGAATTTAAAAATCTTTACCAATTTTTATATGATATTCTTAAAATTAAAAGTATTTAAATGAAATGATTGTTATAATATAATAAAATATTGTTAATCCTGTCAATTGTTAAATAAAATTGTTATCTAAAGATACATTATTTTCATCTTTTAATAATTCTAATAATATTATATACATATATATATATTTTATATCTATATGTCTTAATATTCCTTAAATTATATTTTTTTAATCAATATATTAGATAAAAAATAAAACTAAATAGATATTGAAATCGTTTTTAAATATATAAATTTTCGAGTAATTATAGAGAAGGAAAATAAATAACAGAAGCAGGATAGAGATAGTATAAAAATTAGGAAATCAGCGCCATCTTCAGAGTGCCGCAAATGAAACACACAAAGAAAGGATAGAAAATAATAAGAGAAAGATAGAGATAAGAATTGATCATTAGCGACATCTCTTGAGTGTTAAAGATAGCTTTTAAAAATAGGATAAGTTAGAACAAGAACAAGGAATCAGCGCCATCTCTCGAATATTTTTACAACTTCAGTTAGAAGAAATGTCAAAAGCACTCAATAGATGGCGCTGACAGTCAATTCTACTCTATCTCTATCCTTTTTTCATTATTTTCTGTTCTTTTTTTTGTGTTTCATTTGCGGCACTCTGAAGATGGCGCTGATTCCCTAATTTTTATCATATCTCTGTCTCTTTTGCACATTTGTTCTCCTTGTCTATTATATCACTTGTTCAGCACGTGACAAGATACAAGATGTCAATTGAACGTACTTTTATCATTTCTGTTTTAAAATTACAATGTGTTTTAATCTTAAATTAATTAAAAAATATAAATATTAAAAAATATAAATTTTTATATCAATATATCTCTAAAACAGCGATCTTTTACGATATATCCATGGAAATATTTTAACGTGTTTTGACTTTGAAAGAAAGAAAACAATTTTAAAATATTCTATCGAAATATTTATCCAAGATTTCTTTGTAGAATTTATAATTTCATTCAACTATATTAATAACAATATTTCTACATGTTACATACAAGACGCGAATTGTCGCGTGTATGTTCAAATAATATTCAAAAAATTTTATACAAAACATAAACATTTTGCGGTATCTTATTTTAATTTCTTCACTTTAAAACAAAACATTCTTTTCAATCAGACTTCTCTCATCATACAATCGTGATTATCAATAATTTCTATCTTTCAAACTCTCTATCACCATTCACGGAAAACGATATATCGAGATATATTCAGACATTTCGTAGACGTCTAGAGAAAGAAGAAAAACAAAGAGATCTGCATATATCGCATTCTCTTCCTGGAAAGTTGCAGGAAATCGAGGCACAATGTTCATTTCACGTCTCGAGTGTTGGAAAGAGAAGTTCGTCCGTCGACTATCTTTGCATTTACCATCCCTTCTTTCCCCAAAACCACAATTCTCGCATCATCATGTCGATTTCCAGCCATCCCCTTGGCCCAGGAACCGGAAGAAATCGTTGGCGTAGTATCTCATCGACAAATGGTATCGCACGCAACCACCTACGACGTCAGTCTAATCTCGGGGCACCGGTTGGTCGCCGAGATCCTCGCTCTTTTCCAGCGTCGAATGGGCGTGCTGGAAACGCCCATC